GGACAGCCCCCAGCAGCCCCTGCTGATCGCCTCCTGCACAGAGGAGGGACTTGGAGGGGGGCAAAACCCCTAAAAAACCAGCGCTCCAAGATTTCCGAAGTCTGGAGGTGACCAAAATGACGTGAATCCCACCCACCCTGCCGGATTTTCCCCCCTCATCCATTTTGTTTCACAGAAACACCGCGGTGCGACACACTAGCAGACAGCGGGTCGCGAGGCCGCATGGTTTCTCGTCTCTTCCGCTGCCAGTTGCCTCGAGGAAAACTTCGTTTTTCTCGGAGCGCGCCAGCGTGCACAGCTTCAGTGAAAGTGGAAGCCGTTAAAAAGCGCCGGGCACGTGGAAACCACCGGCCTGTGGGAAGGCCTGTAGGGTGGTCGGCGCTTCCTGCGCGGCCGCGGGTACGCGCTCGTATCGCCTCAGCTAGGCCCGGCTCCCATGGGATGACGGGGAAAGTATTTTCCGCTCGAGCTGGTTTATTTAGGCTGGGATCTATTCCTTTTCTTCTTCCAATCCTCATCTCAGAGATAGGAGAGTGGAAAAAACAGCCGTTTCTTTCTGGCAAGTGTGTCAAAGCGTAGTACTTGGACTGTGTGATACTTTAAATAGGTGCGTTACATGAACCAGCTGTATCTCTCAAAATACACGTAGTGAAATATGAAGAAACACATATTCTGAGGAATATTTTAAATTTATGATGTCATTGCTTTGATTCTTGAGTTGGACCGCTTCGGGTGAAGCATGGGGTCATGGTCAGGCTTCTGCGTCAGCGGCGGACGCAGTCAGCGCCACGCACGGACGCCTGCAGGGTGTACGGGAGCTATTTAAGGGGTGTTTTTATTGAGTGGGTCGCTCACAAGATCATTTAGTCATTTACTGCTTCTGTTTTGATGCTTGTTAACGCCTTGGCGGGCTTCATCACCAGTGTGGCTTTGGAAGTAAGGAAAGAAATGGGAATATCTTACGCAGAGCTCGCAGGCAACTTACTTTTTATCTGCTTCTCTGGTGTTTGCGGTTGTTGTCAGTGTGAAACGTTTGGGTGGATCTAAAGGATTAAGGCACATTTTGTTTCTAAAGTGACATTTTATTGCTACTGCAGACCAACCCCGTGGGAAAAGAGCAGCTGTGCAGGGTGTGTGTGTGTACGGATGTGGGACGGTGTAAATCCGCGTAGGTACAGCTGGAGGGGGGAAGGACCACGTGCCCAGGTACACCCGCCCTGGCTGGGGTCACTGGGCCAAAAATCCTTACGTTCCTGAACCATTACGTTGACTAGACGTGGCATCGCCACGGCTGAGCATCAGCGGGACGGTGCTGGGGACAGGGACGGGAATTGTGCCATCGCCCGTTTGTCACCAACGGCCTCAACCCGCCTGAGGCAAGATCCAGTTCATTTTTTTTCACTGTACGGCAGTAAAAATGCTTGCTGTGAAGTGCCCTCATATCGATTTTTTTTTTTTTTTTTTTTGGTCTGTAGCCTCTTAGCTTTCTGACTCCATTATTTTTGATTTTACTATGAAATACATCTCCTTTCTCCTGACATCTGACAAACAGCGTATGGAAGCTGTTTTATCTACCAATAATGTGTTTGTCAAAAAAAATCATACGCTAATGGGTTACGCTTCCTCCAGTCCATTTTCCCCCTCAGGTTAATGTCACTGATGTAATTCTAAACATTTAGTGACTTTTTTGCCCCCTTAATAATTTGTCATTCCCATAGGTTTGTGTAAGATTCATGGGAGATGCTGTAACAGGCTGGGAACTGACCGTGGGTTTTGGGAAGTAAGAGCTGAGTTAAATTTTAACTCAGTTTAAATCTGTATTCACCTGCCTTTCTCAGATACCTGGCTTTGGTACGGGACTACTGGGTGCACTTACCCCTTATTTACATCCCCTGAGACCAGATGGACCCGACAGCTTCATGAATTATGACTTGCTCTCTCTAAATAATACAAGGACACATACTACACTAGTACTAGGGCATTAGCATCTTTGGTTTTATACTTCCTACGGGATCCTTAGGAGTCTTTTTTAAAAAATAAGACTATTAGCAAGGTGACAGAACTTTTAAACACGAGAGAGAGAAAATGAGACGGCGCGTGAAGCCAACACTTGTGTGCCAGCTGCGCCCTAATGAACGAGCCAGGCTACCCCGACCGAAAGAAACCGGTTGTGTGGGGCAGGCTGTTGGTGAAACCCGCGGTCGTTAACTTAGCACGCACGTGTGTCCGTCCCAGGAATGTTTCTGAGCTGCCGTGAGTTTATTTGCTCATCTGAAGCTCCACTCGCTTCTCATTCGTAGACTGAAATGAGTTTTCAGTGGTTAATCAGTGCAAAAGGATATGTTACATTTTTATTGGGCAAAATAGAAAGGATTTTGCAGCGTGTGTGTGTATCTGGATGAATTTGGATTTAGAATTGTGTATAAAGAGAAAGAATTTCGTACTCCTGAGCTTCTGAATAGTTCTGCAAGTTCCCTTGGTCTGCAAGTGCTTTTCCCGACATGAGATAGGCTACAAATCTAGAATTACAGCTGCACTTTTATTTAACTTTACAGTTTATATACTGTTCAAAGAATTTTGTGTATTCATTACATCTTTTATCAAACTTCAGGTGTGGGAAAAAATAGCACTGTTTTCTCCTGGGCTGCTTTTTCCTCATCCCTTTTGGCAGTCTCCTTTTCACTGTGTCGCTCCAGGCGGTGGCTGCGTCTCGCCTCCGCAGCACCAGCCACAGAGGCACGGGCAGACGCCGCTGCGCTTTCACGCCGTCCGCGTCAGCGCTCGTGGTGGTGGTGCTGGTGCGGCTCAGTCGAGAGGCAATTTTGCTCATTTGCCTGAAGAGCTGCGGCTCTGTCACCCGCAGCCGTCCGGGCACTCAGGGTGCGGTGTGCGCGTTAGGGGCGTCTTACTACCAGCTTCCAAGACTGTTCTTGTCCGGTTCACCTAACGCTGTAACTCTTAAAGCCAGACTAACCATTCGCTTGCCATGCGAACACAGACGACGGCGCGTCTCTCGGGGTGTCTGCAGCCGGAGCCGCGTTCGCCTCGGCGGAAGCAGAGCGAGTTTTCCTGCTGCGCAGCGGGGGTACTCCGCCGCGTGCTCTGCACCGCCCCGCAGAGTCAACTTCTCCAGGGAATCCTCCTGCCACGAACCTGCCGTCACCCTGTGAGGACGTCTCCAGCAAGTTCCTGTTAGCGTGCTGAATGACACCCTACGTTGAACAACATCGGCCAACGCACTGTTGTTGTTTGAGCTAAAGGAGAGAGTTTTGCGTTGTAACAGAGTATTTTGGGCTGCGCTGCAAGGCGGGTGCTTTTGTGTCTCTGCTGTAAGATCTGTTCAAGGCGCCGCGTAGATGCGGCATTTGTCGCAGGCTTACGCTAACGTACACTGACATTACACCTTCTCTTTGTAGACCAAGCCACCCTCGTAGAGCAAGTGAAACGGGTAAAAGAAATTGAAGCTATTGAAAGTGACTCCTTTGTTCCACAGACATTCAGATCAAGTAAAGAAGTCAAAAAGGTAAGTTCTCAATATCCTTTCTCGGCGCATAATCCTTTCAAAGGCAGGCGAAGCTGCGCCGTTAGTGCAGTTTCCGTTGATGAAAGAGCATCGATGTTGACAGTCCTGAATCCCACCAACGACCCCCCTGTGCTCTTGGTGTGGGGTGCAAAGAAGAGACGTTTGAACGCGTGAGGATTTCAATGCACTCAGCTGGTTTGGCTGTATATTCTACGTCTGCTGAGCAACCCCAATTTTTAAAAATTCTTTTGGAATCATAAAAAAACCACAAAGACTTTATTTTAGGACAAGTAAAAGAATTCAAGTCCAAAAGTAATCACAGGATGGTTTGGGTCAGACATTTACATTGTAATTAGAGAGGAGTGTTTTTAATTCTGCTTAACCGAAGCAAGGCTGAGGCCACGTTTACTCCCTGGAACAAACCAGCGTTGTGTCCACTTCCCAAAGCCTATCGCGAGACGTCCGGAGTGCCGAGTTTTACCTGCGCTTTGGCTGCCAACTCCTCTGGGCAACTCGGATGCTTTTGTCTTCAGAAGTAGGCAAGCCAAGGCTTGTTGGGTTTCTGCCCCCGACAGCACGGTGCTTTGAATCATCACAGTTTGTTTCCCCAGAACATGCACTTTCTTGCCTTTTCAGAAGTCTCCAAGCATCTCACGTGGCTTCTTCAGAAAGCGATCCAAAAACGCAGCGCTGCCGCTCTGCGAGCTTTCTCGTTGCCTTTGGCAACACCGTTTGTCACTTCATGTGTTCAGGCTGGACCTCAGTCCGCGCCCAGTGTGTCCCACCAAGCAGACGGAGGAGCGTTTGCGTGAGGATCCTTCCGTGGGCCCCTGCTGCAGTGGGAAGGAAGCTGGGTGCTCGGCTAAGATACCGCCACGTTTGGGAGCTTGAGGATGAAACACTCAGGGGTGTGTGTTTGTTTTCAGTCGACAGAGCCTGCTGAGCTACAGCACGAACCTGTAACTGTCGGGCCGGGAACTGCTGATGCGTCTGCTCCTGAGAAAGAACTGCCACCTGCCAATATTCCGACTGCCATCAAATACCAAGATGACAACTCTTTAGCACATCCAAATGTAAGTGTGCCCATGTTTGTCTTCAGAACGGGACAGAGCAGGGTCGTGTGAGCCAACAACCGTTTTGCTGTGCTGCTCATCAAGCAATCTGTGGTCTGGAGACTGTTAATTGCTGGGCCACTCATGGGCTCAAACAGGATCACACACCTTGCATCATCCAACAGAGAATAGTTACAAAAATGATGAAGTTGGAGTTACAAACCAATTTTTAACGAAGTAGCTTATTTATTGTAGGGGAAATTAAGATCCTGTTCACCTCCCTAAAAATTCAGGAGAAATGGCTTTTGGTTTGTGCAGTTGGAAACCTGGTGGAAGACTCAGAACTTGCCCACTTTGCCATGTCATAAAGCTTTAAATACATGACAAACAAGATAATTTTAAACGTTGTGGCTAAACTTATGCAAACTCCTTTGTGAGCACTTGTCGTGGGAATTGGAGGACTTGGAGCAGAACGATTTTACGATGAGGCAAGTTAAAAGTGACTTGCAGTAAAGAAACTCACGGGAGGCTACAGAATGAGCGTGGCTGACAGAGATCAAGCCCTGTGCAATCTGACACACTTGCTGTTTCAGGAGGGGACTCAAGTTGGAATGTTGTGGGTTCCCAGTTACTAAAAGTCTCTACTAACGTATTTCTATCACCTTTGTATTTTAACGGCCCGGCGCAGCAGGGCTTTTTCTTTGGGTGCTGAAATACGTAATTCATGGAATCACAGAACAGTTTGGGCTGGAAGGGACCTTAAAGCCCACCCAGTCCCACCCCCTGCCATGGGCAGGGACACCTTCCACCAGACCAGGTTGCTCCAAGCCTCATCCAGCCTGGCCTTGGACACTCCCAGGGATGGGGCATCCACAGCTTCTCTGGGCAACCTGTCCCAGTGCTCCCACCCTCTCTGTGCAGTGAGATTCAACAGATTATAACAAATAAAGAGAAATTTAATGAGTTGTGCCTATCTTTCTTCCTCTCCCCCTCGTCTCTCAGCTGTTCATCGAGAAGGCGGAAGCGGAAGAGAAGTGGTTTCAGAGGCTGATTGCTCTTCGGCAGGAAAGGCTGATGGGCAGTCCGGTGGCCTGAGTGAACTGCGGTGACCGTCGATTCTCCACGAATGCTACGAAATCCTCCCATTAACTTGTTTTCTTTTTCTCTTCCGAGGGGATTTGAACACTCAGTGTGAGTTGTCCAGACAATAAGTATAAACGAGAATGTTCTACCCTCTACGAACCCATCGCCGGGTGACGTGTGTCGCTGAGCTACCTGCTCTGGGTGGGAAGGCTCCCGGCAGCATCGTTCTCCTCTCTTGTACCAAATTCCTCTGGGGTGCCAAAAACCCTTGACAGCCCGAGGAGATGTAATTTTATACCTCCCAATCGAAAAAAGATATATAACCGTGAAGCAGTTGACAGATAAATTAAAGAATGAGACTGCCAGAGTTCAGATTTACCCTCAGACCAGAGGCGTCCAAGCGATACCGCCCTGGGCCATGACATTTCCGCGGGATCCACCCGCTGCTGTTGGCATCTGGGAGTGGATGTAAGGAAGACATTAGGTTTTCCTTGTAAGCAAATTTGTAAGGTTTCAGCAGGTTTCAAGAAATACTATTTTCTGAGCAATTTTAAGCACATTAAAATGTTCAGTAATCTGGGAAAGAGCTTTCCGCAAGCTCTTGGTGGGAAATAATAGAAATATTGGTGTGTGTAACGCAGCCCTTCTGTCCAACAGGACTAACGGCACACCTGTTTCTGTACAGAGCGATCGGTTTTGGGCCACGAAGCCTCCGTTTGTCCAGGTTGGACTTTAAATAATAAAAGAATGGTCCTATTTGACCATAGCAAACGCACCTTGAGCACAGTTCCAGAAAAACCCTGGCCATCCTCCAAATAAATGCCAGAGATCAGCCAAACAGAAGAGACCTCTGTGTTTCTTCTGAGGTAGCTGGCAGAGCTGTGGGAGAATCGGCTTGTCCCTGTGCGTGAAGAACTTCAAGTAGTGTTACTCCTCCTTGTTCTCAGATCTGTGGTGAAAAAGGATGATTCTGGCAATGTTACTTTGGCTGTCTTATCTTTTTTTTTAAATCACGGATGTAAAAGGAAAATGTATTAAATTTGGGATCTAACACATCCTCCCTGTTTCTTTACAAACGGTGTTCGTTTTACCTGGTCCAGCATTAAAATGGCTCTCTGTGTTTCAAGACTGCCTTGTCTGCAACAAGAAGTGGATAAAAATTTCCTTCCCTTGTTTCTTTTCAGCGTTTTCAAACGGTAAATACTTGTCATTGTTCTGTCTTCCCATCTCCTTTCCTTCCGTGTTTCCTTCATACTAAATAAAAACTGTTTGATCTCCCTGTAAGGTACAGGTGTAAATTCCTCTTTTTCACACATTATGTTGGTATTTTTACTGGATGCAAAACGATTTATGCAATTCTCAACCCTACAGGGTGTTAACAAATTCCACAAACTGGACTGTTACAAGTAAATAAGACTCGGTGGTAATAACAGGACGCACCTACTATTGCTTAGCATCAGTAACCCAGTCTTTCCAGCAGGTCCGTGCCGGAGGAGAATTGTGAGCAAGATCTGGAAAGAAAGTGGAAATAGCATTTAGATAACCCGAACTGAGTAGAAATACGGACTGAAATGTGCCAAACGTAAACTGAGGCAGGCGGCCAATCGTTGCAAAGTTGATTTTTGTCGTTGCAGCGGCAGGTTACTCAGAACCCCGTGGCCTTCACACAACACGTAACTTGTTTGTTGCCCCAGTCTCTCTCTGGGTGGGGACAGTTCGACGAGGGTCGTTTCTATGTTCTGTCACCCAGCTCAGCTCCTGCTCTGAACGTGCATTATGCCGACATGCAGCGTATGAACGTAGTGGTGTTGGGAGATGAAGGAATTGTCAGGATGGAGTTTTTGCCTGGATACCCTCTGCTACCAATGAGAAAACATCCTCTCCTTGTTGCAAACCTGCAAATTCGTGCGATACAGATTTCCAGAGACGCCTAAAGCAGCTCGGCGACGCTCAGGTGCGTGTCCTGGTGGCACGGGGAGCTGACTGGCGACCTCAGCAACGCCGGCGGTTGGGTCTTGCGAGTGCGTTTTGATCGCCCTGTGGATCCCACGCGGGGTAGGGCTAAGCTGAACGCCCACGACGCCGATCGCGCAGATGCGAGTGGCCTTTCCGAGAGTCGCTTGCTGGGGAGGGGCTGAGCACTTGCCAAAGCCGTGCCCCGCCGAAGGGGCGCTGGGTCAGCGCTCTGCCGCGCCGAGAACCCGCTGTCGCCGGTTCCACAGCTCAAACCTGCTGCTAAGGTAGGCGCCGTCCCGCTGCGTGTGCTCCTGTAAAGTAACGGTTGCGTAAGGCCAGTCGTAGGGTTGGAGCGCAGAGGTTTAGACAGCGGCACCCGATTCGGGTTGTGTAAACTGGTTTGCTTTCACCTGAGGAGCATCCTGCGATCAATTACTCATTTTCCTGTCAAAGGCAGGCAGATATTTGCCTGTCAGAAATGAAATACGGGGGAGGGCAGCAACATCAGAAATAAACTTCACTCTGGAACCAGCTATGCTTGACTAAGGAGAACTTTGACAAACTGCTAAAAATCTTTACATTTTACATTTTTTCACTCAAATTGCTTGACAAGACGTGGACACCTTATAAGTGGATTGCATCCAAGTACACGTGCACTCCACCGTTCCATGCGTGGGGCCTTTTTGCTGGAGGACAAGGCAGCGTGTGTTAGCTAGTCAGCCAGATGCAAATGTAATTAACTGCGTTGTACCACGGGCATGAAACCCGTATCGATGTGTACAAATCACTCGCCACTAACCTGGAAAAGGCACTGCTGGCTCTCCACACACTCCTCCTGATGCCAAAAGGAGTGACACCTTTCGGCACTAATCCTACTTCCTTAGTTTCTTTGCTGCTAAGGTCTTCCCATGCTCTCGCATCCGGCATTTAGGAGTCTTGCCGATGGGAAGTTTATTTTGTTGTTGTATTTTCCACTTGGCTCTGTGCTCCTGGTGCAAGGGAATGGGTTCCTTCGTAAGAAAGGGAAACAGCTGTTTGTTAGTTATCCAAGTAAAACACAGGACTTGTAGCTGTGTTTTGCTGTCCGTAGAGACAGCAGTGACATGGTTCTGTGATTCAGGACCCGTGACGGGGGGCTGATACAATCAGCTCTAACGCCAAGTTCCTCCTCATGCCAAACTACCGTAGATGGGGCTCAGACGAGCGGGGTGGAGGAGTGAAAAGATAATGCCGTAACCCGAGCCATTCATACTGCTGGTAGTCAGCAGAGACCTCTACCCCGAGAAATTACATTAGCAAACTCATCTCACTTAGCCTGCTGAGGAGCCACCATCAATTAAAATCAAAGCAGGCTGATTTTGATTCGATAACTTTCAGGTAGAATGTTCACTGGCCCTTTCTGATTTCTTGAGTCATCCAGCATCTCCACAACTATTTTTTATCACGATAACTGCTTGAAAAGGAGCTGTGTTTAGTTTTTAAATTATCGTTATTGTTACAACACTTTAGAAAGATTTGCACCACTAAAATAGTGGTAGGTAAGAAAACGCTGCCAGCCAGGAGATCAAATTCAGTCGCTCCGACACGACTGAGACCGGATGATCCCGAAGGCCATTTTTCCATCAGTAACCCAAAACCAACCTTCTCGGTGATTACAGTTTTCCATTTGTCAAGTTACAAGAAGGAAGTTATTTTTAGTGGAGATCCTTGAACTCTAGAAACCTGTTTCAGGAGAGAACCTATGACTTAATCCACATACGACACCGGGGCTGCAGCGACTCTTCAGCTTCCCGCAGGAATAAAGCCATGCTCCAAGTATTATTACTCCAGAATTTAAGATGCTCACCATTTGTAATTTTGTCTTTGTGCAGCATCGCCTCATTTCTTTTCTCCTGACTGTCCCCTCCCCTCCTTTGCTAAGACCTAGGAGAAGAGGTGGCTGGGCGGATTATGTGACGCTGGGGAGCAAGACTTAGACCCTGAGTCACTCTGGAATTGCTGCTGCGGGGTGAGAAGTGACGCGATACGTCTCCTCTCTCTGGAAGGAAGCGGGAGCTGAAGCTCCGTGCGGAGAGGGAAGAGGGAACTCGGTGCTGACACCAGCGCTGTGCTCCACTTCCAGCTGCGCACTCCTGAGCTGGAAATGGTCAGGACACGATTTAAAGCCAGGTGAAAATGAAAATCATGGCTTGGCTGTGGTTTTGCTTCTTCAGAAATCCAGTGTAGACTGGGGCTCATGGCTGCGGGGGTGAAGCCCCTGCTGAGATATCAGGAAGAAATCCTTCCTAGAGAGGGTGGGGAGCACTGGGACAGGTTGCCCAGAGAAACTGTGGATGCCCCATCCCTGGGAGTGTCCAAGGCCAGGCTGGATGAGGCTTGGAGCAACCTGGTCTGGTGGAAGGTGTCCCTGCCCGTGGCAGGGGGTGGCACTGGGTGGGCTTTAAGGTCCCTCCCAACCCAAACTGCTCTGTGATTCTATGATCTCTGCATGCAGTTTTGAAAAGGCCGTCCCTGCTGAGCTGCCGCCGTAAGAATCTGATTCCCACTAGGTGTCTCTGCTGTCCCAGAGCAGTTGTCACGCCGAACATCCCTGGCTGCCGTGAAAGGCCAGGGAAATCTCACACATGTAGCCTGAAACTGCCTTTTTACATCCCAAACAAAGCTGGAGTTAGGGCAACAAGACAGAGCAGTTTGTCTCAGTTTTCTGTTGCCTTACAGTCTACATATTTTCAAATAAATACTGCTCAAAAAGGTAAGGTCCAAATATTTATTGTCTGCGTGGCACAGTGCCTGGGGGAGTTTATAGGAAGGAAAAGTGGGCTCTTGCCCTCCCTGGTCAGCAAACTGACTGCCTGAGGGCGTGCAGGCGCAGGGCTGCCGGGAGGGACGGGCACCTTCCTCCGGACACCACGGGGCTCCACATCTCTGCATTTCCACGTGACAGTCCTGAAAGGAAGTCATCAATGCATCTGATTCATTATTACTGGAAATCAAATACAGCTAACGTTTGTAAAAATGTCAAGTTGCATTTTTGATTCCTTTTCAGTGAATCTCAG